TGTGTCTGATGTATTCTGAAGTAAGCTATGTTCTTGGCACTGTGTGTGTGTGTGTGTGTGTGTGTGTGTGTGTGTGTGTGTGTGTGTGTGTGTGTGTGTGTAGTCAAGGGTGGAGAAGAGTTGGCAGGGAATAAAGATTTTGATGGAGAGGGAGAAGAAGGTCTCAAAGGGAAATAAAGAGGAAGGAAAGAGAAGGCTATGGGGAGCAGTAGGTCTCCTCCTTTCCTGTAGACGTGAGGTCATGAGAACTGGTCCAGGTGGTGTTGGAAAAGAAGACCTGTGCTAATGAGTAGTCATGTTACAGGATGCATTATGGTCATTCTTCTTTAAAAGAGCCTACAGCCAGTACATTCTTGTTGGTTAAGAGCCAATTTACTATGTGGTGAGACTAAGCAATTTCTTCCTGAAATCCTACTAGTTCTAGAGTGAAACAGAATAACTATTTTGCCATGATAAAGATCTTTCTCTCTCCAACCCCCAGGCACTTCATAACATTTGTGTTTATGGTCTTTTCCCCAGGTACAGTAGTCACCAAAAGGAAAAAAGAAGTTACGGATTGCTTCCTTTTGTAGGAGTAGGGTTTTGGTTCCTCTTAGCATGAGAGCAGCAAGGAGTCACTTAGAGGTCTCTAGGGAGGGTAGCTTTCTTCCTGACACTCAAATCTTGGCCAACTCCCATAGACCACTAGTTGTACCAGTTAGTTCTATTCAGCAAAAATAAATTGTAAACTTGTTGACATTTTTGTCCTCTTTACAATTCATTGTTTATTTTTCCATGACGGAGAATTTTGATGCAATTATCACTGAGCTTTCTGACAAAAGGGAAATAGCTGAGGAATTTTGATGAGTTACCCACTTCATTAATCAGAACAAGCATCTCTAGTGACAGGGTTAGAATTACAATGAAGATTAGATAGCAAATTGCTGTTCCACCTAACGTCAATCATTCCCAGTGACAGCAGTGTGATTACACTTCAGGGAAGAGCTTTTCTTGCCAACAGAACGAGGGCAACTCCAGTGCAGGTAATAAATTTAGCAGGGAGCGCTGTCATTTCTTTTCTTCAGTGGAATCCTAACAACCAATGAATATCTTGTGGAAGATTTTGTGGCAAGGAAACCATTTCACTGTAAAACTACCCAAATCTTACCTTGTAGTATTTTATTTTAGAAATTATTATATAAGAGAACCCCCCCAACCGGAATTTATTAAAAAATTGTGTATTTATTCTTACATGTTTAAACTTTAGTGACCTTCAAAGTACTCTCTGATGCATTACACCTATAGAGATGCTTTTTCCATTGCTCAAAACTCTTTTTGAACTCATCAATTTTGATGCCTTTTAGTGCTTCTGCAGTTTTTTGTTTCACCTCTTCTGCTTTGGCAAAATGTTTCCCTTTGAGGATTTTTTTTCATTGGGGAAACAAACAGAAAATGTCACTCAGGGCGAGATCAGGTGAATAGGGAGGGTGGGGTACAGGAGTCATGCTGTTTGGGACAAAAACTGTTGAACACTCAGTGCAGGGTGGGCAGATGCGCTCGTAAATCAAATAATTTGAAATGGGCAAATGTATTGAAAGAATCTCCAAAATTTTACTGAAGCCAAACACAGCCTCTCACAACAATACTAGTTGGTACGCTGTTGTCAATCGGTTACTAGCAGGGGAAACCTGTACTATGGGGCCCACCCTCCAAAAAAAAATTGTTTATTTTTAGGTGCCCCCTTATAGCTATGTGCTTAGGAAAAGTTTTCCCCATCATGATTTTCTTATTTTCTTTACCTATAATAAACCTTAATTATAACCACATACTGTGATAAAGAGATAGTAGAAGTTAGAAAAGAATGCATGACAATTAGAAAATTTATTAGAAATAAATACATGGTATACAAATAAATGAACTGGGAAAGAAATGGAAGCAAGTCTGACTGTTTACCTAACTAGTTAAAATTTTAAGTTCTCCTGGCTTCAACAGAATGTATTCTTCTTCTAACTCACTTGTGGTTTTAAATATGACTTTTTGTTTTAGAGAGCAAAGGGATAAAGTATTATTATAGTTCCAGAGTAGAACTAAAGAAGAGAAGCAGACTGGAAGCAGCCGGGAGTAAGCTGGGGGGAGGGAGGAATAGAAAGAATAAATAGTTCATGTCTGTGGAAGGATGCCACTTTTCATCCCTTAACAGAGAGCTACCATTATCTTCCAGAGAAGATGAGACAGAGTATATTCCTTACCCAAATATTTTCTTCCAAGCACACTTATGAGACTCCTGCTTACTTGAATAATGATTGCTATGAATCAATAATAACTAAGCTGCTATTCTTGATTCATACTTTATTTTTTTATTTAAATTTAATGGGACTGCTTTTTTGAGCAGGCAGGAATAAAAAACCAATAGCAAGTCAATTTTAAGGAAGCAGTTGCTGTGCGAGTCTGTCACTTGCTGTTGTTAACTTGTGTAGTGAAACTAAACTATAGACCTTTAACACCAATCATTTTGCTCTCAGGGTCACAACCTAAGTATTTTTAAATAAATATATTGATTAGAGAATTTATTTATTTATATTTTTTATTTTAAAGATGTGAGGTACAATTCAGGGTTAGGTATACAAATGTTCATTATACAGGTACCCTTGTTGATGAGGTGTGCCCCTCCCTCCCCTGGCAGTTTCCTTCAACTGCCAATCCCAGTCACCCCTGAATTAAAAACTCAAAATTTCTCCTCCTAATTCAAATGTTTCTAACCAATGCTTTTTTCCCATGGTACATTATGTATAGTTTTATTTCATTACCAAAAAAAAAAAAAAAAAGCAAAGGATTTGCCCTTCTTTTTTATAGGAGTCTTTTTGCCTAATAAAAGAGAGTCATCAGGATGCTGAAATGTTTGTTTTAGTTTTAGCAATACCACTAACTCTTTAGTTTGTGAATTGACTCATTAAGCCTTTCTCTACTTGAAGTTTTAGCTTAGTGAGGTAAGCCACAGTAACATATACAATCTCTATTTTATAATAATGGCCTAAAAATTAACAAAATGGTACATATAAGGTGTTTTAAACTTTACAAAGAAGAGGAACATAGAAATCTGACAACACTATTAATAGTGTTATTACTGTCAAGGGGATTATGTTTGTACTATTTCACCATTATAAATAATCCAGGAGTTAAAATTAGAGATAGCTATGCATAGAATAGTTCACCAAGTCATTCAAGAGGAATCTCTTAAATGAATGTGGCAAATAGACACTGGATATACTCTTTTGACTATGACATGCGAGTTAGTGCCATTTTTTTTTTCATGCTGTATTTTGTGGAACAAAAACAAATAATGCAAAAGCCATGCCCCTTCAACCAGGCAGGCATGTGTCTTCTGGTTATGACTAAAGGCATATCCAGTATTCAAGTCTCCTTTCCTTCCTCCCTTCCTCCCTCCTTCCTACCCTTCTTTCCTTTCATCCTTCCGTCCAAGGTATCTAAGTAAAGGTCTAGAGAATGTGTCCTCATTGGACATATGGAAAGGGCTTTTTAAAGTGTGCCATGGTTTCTCCTAATGAGAAATTACCATAAATAATATGTATAGTTTGTCTAAACGGGAATATAACATACCCTGTGTAGAAAACATTTCTCGTCAAATGGGCTGTTTCTAAGATTTCTAGCATATGCTTCTTTATGCTATTGGTCTTTTATTTATATATCCTCTCTCCTATAAGCTCTCAAAAGTAGAGATATCTTAAACACTTTTGTTCAGCATTCCCAAATTCAAACACAGAGGTGAGTACTTAGTAAACGTTGAAACAGTGTAAGTTAAGTATTTTTACAAAGAAGGAAGAAGTGAATAGCACTAAATCTGGCCCCAATAAAGCTGCCAAGTCCTTGGGACTGGTCATCAATATTCCCCATACTTCCTATGAAGTCACTTTGTAGAGGTTACTTTCTGTTTTTATGTTCTTCATACTGAATACCACTCTCAGATTTGCCATTCCCATTTATGGAAGCTATTCCCTTCTCTCAGGAGGCCCACAGTCTACTGGAAATCAGCACACCAGTGATTATGATATAGTGTGACAGGTGTTTTAACTGAATAAAGCATAGATTGCTCTGGGAACACAGTGGAGGGCACTTACATTTAGGGAGAGGAGTTGGTAATAGGAGGGGTTCTTGAGAGCCCTGACTCCTGAAGCAGTCAGGGAGAGAGAGTGAGCAGAAAAGGAGAGAGAAATCAGTTTGAACATAGGTAGGAAAGTGTGAATTAGCATAGTTGGTGTTAGGGCTGAGAACTGAAAGTAAATTGATCCAGAAGGAACGTATTAAGTTTGCTGACAGGATAGAAGGAGGCAAGGACTAGGTCTCAGTGATTTTCTTAGTCTAGGATCCATGAGTAAAGTACTACTCTGGAGATATCCTTAGGGTTGGTAGACCTTGGCTAATTTGCTGTCAGATGATGCATATTGTGGGAGGTTACAGGCATCCTGAACATCTAGTCTCTCTAGGCTCACTAAGTCCCTTATACTGTCAGTGATAGCCCAGCTGAAGTTGTTTTTAGCTCTCTTATTCTCAGGGACCAGAGACCCCATTCCATCTTCATGGGATATTCCATGTTTGCTTGTATAGGACATCAGTGGTGTCAGTAACAGGAATGAATTAAGTGGTTGGTGTTTTAGTCTCCAAGACAGCCTGGCAAGGGAGGTCACGTTGGAAGCAGGCTTTCAAGCTTCTCAAACAAGCCCCTTAGTTCATATCTTAGATGCGACTTGTTATTCCAACTCCCCATAGACTGGTGCTTTATGATGGCAATTAAGTATTTTAAGTCGTGAGGCTGAGAATGCCTCAATCGCATGACTTGAATTATTATAAAGTAATTGTGTTTTTTCTGTTCCCTTCCATTAAGACAACAATTCCTAGATTTGTTTTAAAAAGTGTAAGGGAGAAATCTGAGGAGAGGCTCTCGATATTAGATATTATAAAACTAGTGCTGATGGGCTGTGATTTTCCAAATGTTTCCACTGCAGTGTCAAAAGCGGTATTTCTCTGCCTGGCACAAGCTGATTCTTGATCATAGGATTAAGCTGGGGAAAGCTGGGACCCTGTCTGACTGGAAGATTCAACTGAAGGTCCTGAGGGTCTGGAGAGATTACACAAGATCCCAGAAGTTGGTGCGGGAGACTCAGGCTTTGGAAAATGATCTTAGAGAAGAAAACAGGTACCATTATTTATACTGTGAAAATCCTTCTGGTATGTTATTTTCCTTCTGAAGAATCCAGAAATAAACTTTTAAAATGCTAACTGGGATTATCTTATCCACTTAAAAAGTATGGTAGTCACAGTTTTTCCATGTTACATTTCAAATTAGAAAATTTTAACTGAAAATTATGAGCAAATAAAATAATTTGATTAAAATGTTCTAGCCAGGTTCTGTGGTTCACACCTGTAATCCTAGCTACTCAGGAGGCTGAGGTGGGAGAATTGCTTGAGCCTAGCAGTTCAAGCCAGCCTGAGCAACACAGTGAGACCCTGTCTCCAAAAACAAAATAAACTATACTAATATGCATGATTTTCTTTCCTTAAAGGAAGCAAGTATTAGAATTTTCCTTTGTCTTCTGGTGTAGAAACATTACACCTTGGACCATCAAACATTCAGAAGAGGGGATTTGGTTTATGAGTATATACCAATAGTTCTCATTGATAGAAATCACTATCTGTACATAGAATGTTAATTAGTGACACAGGAACATCCATCTGCGAGGGTGGACCTGCCAAGAGTGATTCCTCCTACTCTGCTGTCTTTTGTTCCACACCTTATTTACAGGGTTTTCATAACTTTGTATCAGTTTCATCTTACACCTATGAATGACACAGAATTCTGTCTTCAAGTGAGGCTTTCTTTAGTCTATCATCTTAAAATTAAATAATTTTCTTCTTCTAATTTCCAAATTCAACTTTTCATTCTTGAGTTGAAATGATAGATGTAGAAGAAATCATTTGTTTATTTGGGGCAAAGGGGAAGTTCTTGTTCTTATGCATAATCACTTCTCTACCAGTAATTCTGTCATTCACTGAGGATTTTTTAAAAATTGAGTGAATGGTAGATGGAAGTATTGTTACATAGAAGGGCATGACACCTCCTGGAGCTGTGCAATCCTGTGACAGCATCAGGCCCAGAGACTGCTCCATGGCCCACTGTCCTCAAAACTCACAGTTCTATGGGGGAAACAAGATCTAGAGGCAGTACAGGTGTTGAGTAGTATTGTAAACTGAGTAATACATCCCCATCTGCTGCTGAGAACATGGCAGAGGGATGTGTAGCTGTGGCCAAGGAGTCTCTCAAAGAATGCCAGGAAAGCCTTCATCAAGAAGATGCATCTTGATCTGGGCCCTGCATGGTAAATAGGATGTTCCTATTTAGGTAGAGATGGGGAGACTGGAATGATGGCATGAAGTGTAGTCATCTGGATTGGCTGGAGACTATCAAGCATGTGGTTGTCAAGTTCATCAACTTCTGAAAGGCCTGAATGCCAGAGGTTTTTAAGCAGGAGGGTGACCTGGTCAATTTCCTCCTTTCCTGCAGTGAGGGGGGAGAAAAGAGGCCAATCTAGAAAACTCTCCCATAGTTTGTTTCCAAAGTCTCAGGACCTAGTGATTGATATTAAGAATTGGGATGATGGCTTACTGAAAAAGGAATCGTTGGCAGGATTTGCTGAACAAAGAAGGGAAAGGGAGTTTCTGTAAAGTGGAAGCAATGTGAGTGAGGGCATAAAGTTAGTGGAACCTGAGATGTTGAAGTTAAAAGTGGCCTATGAGATTTACATGCTAGAAGAAACTTGTGTAAGAAAATTCTGGAGAATTTAAGATTCCATTCCAATTAAGCTGTTTAAATATAAAAGCACTAAATAGAGATTTCATAATAGCATGATGTGCCAATTTTTTTAAAAAAAGATTTCAGAACTTTTTGTCTTGTATCTGTGAATTATTTTCAGGTGTCTATTTTTAAATGTCCAGAACGGGTACTAAACTTTTAAAAACTGCCAGAGTTAGAAAATATTTAACTTATAATAATTTTTTACTATAAAGTGTTAGAGCCAAAACAAACAAACAAACAAAAAAACCCTAGCATAAGAAGACCTCTCAAGGATCATCTGATTCAGCCCCTCATTTTACATGATAAAAGTAAGGCTCAGAGAAAATAAATGACTCAAGGTCACAAAGCTAATAGTAGCCTCAATGGACACCAAATACATACTTGTTGAATAATAATCAAGTCAGTAAGTAAATGAAGAACTCAGTTGCTTCCTCTCTTGCAACTTGAACTTGATAGAGTTTTCAAGCATCCTTTCTAAACAGTGAGCTCATAGGATAGGAGAGAGCATTTATTATAATGGGTTACTCATTGTAGAAACTTAACTCTTACCAGATTGATAAAACACAGGTGATTCTGTGGATTCACCTGACTGTTGAAGCCATTTGTTACGTTTGTCACTCAGATGTCAGCTGTGTCCTCACCCTCTTGCTCTTGCACCCACATTTGTTTTTGCCACCGGGGTTTCCCCTCACTGGACTGTTTTCCATGCAGGGGGACTGGCCAGCATTTCTGGGGTTTTTTCCTTCCCCTTTTTTCTTTCTATCCTTCCCACTTCCTCTCTGGAGCAACCACAAATCTCTCTCTTCTTATTCATAATTTAGCAATCATCTTTTTAAATTGAGCCTGTGCTCAGAGTCTCACCTCCACTCCAAGAGTTCGTCCGCTTATTTCTTCTAAAAATGCATCTAATAGGAATTGTGGTCACTCTTTTTTTCATCTCTTTTCTTTTAAAAGTAGTTATAGTAGTGGTTTTATAAAATTTCAAATTATGTCAATGTGGTGATATAATTTCAACATTTACAATTACTTCCAAACCCTGAGAATTCACTTACTTGGGTAATGCACAAAATTGTAGACACATTAAGTTAGACCCTTTGACATGGTGGTATTGAATGTCGTCAGCATGTTCACTTTTAAGAATTGGTTCCAGATCCTCCATTCCCCCTCTCCCCGTCCTCCCTGACAATATATAGCCAGCCCCAGACAACACTAGAAAAAAGCAGGGTTTGTTTTCAAGGTCTTCTGTCACCCCTTCCTGAGCCCTGCTTCCCAGATGTCTCAGTTCTTTCCTGGGAAGCTCCCTGAATTACCTCCATAGGGTCTTTAATCCTACCCTTTCTTGTACCAGTGCTCTGGGCCTTTCCTGGAACATGCTTTTATTTCTTCCCTTTGTCTCTCAAGCTCCTCATTCTTTGTTATAGTAATCCTCAATTGATATGTTGTCCCTCCTAGGAAATTTATTTCTACTTTAACAGGCATTGTCTGGACACAGTGCCCAAAATGGAAGTGACAGGAATTTGAGGGTATTGTAGCAGACCAGTGAAAAAACTGGCCCTGAATTGGGATGATGGCTTACTGAAAAAGGAATAGTTGGCAGGATTTGGGATGATGGCAGGATGATGGCTTACTGAAAAAGGAATAGTTGGTATTCCTCAAACCATGTCATTCATTTGTTCACTCATTTATTCTGTCTGATGGAATAAATTTACTCAGTCAACTAGCTTACCTGATACTTACTATATACTAGACCCTCTCCTAGGTACTGGGTGTAGCATGAGAAAAAAAGTAGTAAACATTGTTACCTTCTAGGAGTTTTCAGTCTAAGTGGAGAAGTTAAAAAATTTTATCCAAATACTAAAAATAATTGCAACAAAAGACACCATAAGATAAATACTTAGGAGTGATGTAGACTTGGCTATCATTCATTATAATCCTTTGGGAAGCTTTTTAAAAATAGGAATTCATGGGCCCCATGAGAGAGGCAGCCTGTGGTCAAGTAGAAGAGGGCATTTTTCAGTGTAGGGGAAACCTGATAAACTAGTAGAGAGTCAGGCTTGTGTAGGAACAGGTCAGGGTGAACCTACCAGGCTCACCCAGGGTTACGGAGGGGGAGTGAGGCTGAATTGAAAATAGACTGTCAGATATTCCCATTTCCAGTACTCCTAATTTCAGTGTTCTTTGGGGCAATCATTTATGGAGTGCATCTGCCAATCATGTTCAATTATCCTTCCCTCTGTGCTCACCTGGGTATGCAGGGGAGCAGCCAGTAGCCCCATGGTACCTGTAGCTAGTAATGCTCCTGACATTTTTGTCAGGCAAGAAGACCAGACTTGCATTGCCTGGCTCACTTTAAAACTTTTTTAAACAGAATCATCTTATCTTCCACTTTTTCCCTGAAGCTACCTGGTACTACTGAATGCACAAGCTTATTTTCATTCCTATTCCTGCTAGACCTGCTCATCCCAAATGTAACTGTTCATGTCACTGCTTTTTAATGATCTGTATCAGATTTCAGCACTCAGTCAGATCACTAGTGTGTGCTTATTTATCATTTCTCATTCGCCTTTAAAAATTCAAGTACTTTTTAGATACCTAGTAGTCTTGTCCTAATATAGTATTATTATCTTACATGTAGATTTTGTTCCATATCTTCAAGGTTTTTTTTTCCTTCCTATTTAACTCAATTCTCAAAAAAAAAAAAAAAACAACTTGTAGGAGAGGCAGTATAGTGGGACTTATTGACATCATTTTTGAGGATGAATCTGCAGCTTAGAAACTTTCAGTTGCTTGCCCAGTATCCCATATCTAGTTAGCATGCACCAATCACTGTCAGGTTGAGGTGTTGATCCTTGACAGCAAAGTTCATACTTAAATTCCTATTTAAACTTTTTGTATTTTGTATTCTTAGATAAACAGAGGCAGCTTTTCTCTGCATGCAGTTATATAATTGTGATAATCAGTTTATATACTCTTACTAGAAATTTCCTTATTTCAGCTTGCTAGCATATGGGGACAGTCTGTTCTTGATAAGGGAACTCTGCCTTTCACTTTATGATTATCAGGTATCTATGTCTGAAACCACTTCTTTAGGTAAGCATACCTAATTTAAATTGCATCTGAATAAAGTTTTAAGAAATTTAAGTCATTTTTCAGTTTCAAAATTTTATGTTTTTAAGTGTCTTTTGTTTTTTTGTTTGTTTGTTTGTTTGAGTTGGCGTCTCACTCTGTCGCTCAGACTGGAGTGCAGTGGCCGCTCCCGGCCACCGCAGCCTCGACCTGCTGGGCTCCGGCGATCCTTCCACCTCAGCCTTCCAAGTAGCCGGAATTACAGGCGTGTGCTACCACGCCCGGCTGATTTTTTTTATTTATTGTAGAGATGAGGTCTCGCCAAGTTGCCCAGGCGGGTCTCGAACCCACAGGCTCAGGCAATCCACTCACCTCAGCCTCCCAAAGGCGCGGGATTACAGGCTGAGCCACCAAACCCGGCTCTTTTATGTTTTTAAATAAAAGTGTAGCAATTGGCTTATATGTAGTGTTGTCACTCTGCAGAAGCGAATGTGAGGAAGCAAGAGAGGAACCAGCCTTGTCTCTGGATTCCAAGCTTCTGTGCTTCTGCCCTTCTGCCTCAGCCCACAAATACAGATATCTTATCGAATCCCCCACTTTACCATTGTAGAGTACACTGTAAGCACTACAGTAAACATGCATTTTTTACTCATTTTCTTATTTTTTTGTTTTGTTATAATTACAGAAATATTCTTCTCTTTGCTTTCTCATTGTATTCAAATAATCTCCCTGACTGTCAAAACCCAGTGCTGCTTTTGGCTGTTTGTGCTGTAAAAAACATAAATTAATATATAAGGTAAATTTCACACTCCTCTTCCTGAGCAGACTGATGTAAATAGAATTTCACGTTAATCAGACAGAGCAGCAGACATCTTCTATCCTGTGAAAATGTATGATTTTTTACTCATTTCATTATTTATACACTGATATTTTTGGAGCTGTGTTCTTACCTACGTTGCTATTTGTTATTCTTATTTCTTCTAAAATTTGTATTTCAAGGTTATAAAGTCTCATATTATTTAGTTTATGTCTATAAAAGTAAAATATTACATATTACAAATAAATATTTGTTACTACCTATTTGTCTCTTTTAAATATTTTATTTACTTTTAAAATTTTCCTTAGTCAGGCCATGGAGAAAATCTAGTGTTATACTTTTATAACAAAAACCACAAATAAGCAATCACCAAGTATTTACTGAGTATTTATCAATGCATTAGAAGGAAGCAATTAAATATAATGAAATATACTGTTGGCAGAGTTGCTTTTTTTAAAAGAGATATAGAATAGATTAGAATAGAATGTTTCAGTTATATATATTTTTGTTTCACACACATTTAAACCTGTATATTGAGTCACAATGTAACATTTTTCCTTGCTATAGGTGGCAGTAAGTACTGTAGGTGGCATTTAAGAACTGTGGAAATGATCTCCTGACTCACTGACTTGAGAATTTTAGGTTTTTCTTGATATGACCCCAAAGAGTACGTAAGGAGAATTAGGCATTATATATGTTTAGGAGAAATGGATATGCAAACAGGGTTATGGAGAAGTTATATGAGTCATCTTTACAAGATAAAAAAATATGTTTGCAGGGCTCGGTGGCTCAGCCTGTAATCCCAGCACTTTGGGAGACCAAAGGCAAGTGGGTTGCCTGAGCCCGTGGGTTTGAGAACAGCCCGGACAATTTGACAAGACCTCGTCTCTACAATAAAATAAAAAATAGCCGGACGTGGTAGCACGTGCCTGTAATTCTGGCTACTTGGAAGGCTGAGGCAGAAGGATCGTTGGATCCCAGCAAGTCAATGCCGGGGTGACTGTGAGTGTGCCACTGCACTCCAGTCTGGGCGACGGAGTAAGACTCCAACTCAAAAATGTGTGTGTGTGTGTGTGTGTGTGTGTGTGTGTGTGTGTGTGTGTGTCTAAACAGAATTATACTTTGAACCTCAAAACTGATCCTTGATGTCTAAGTAGTTCTAAGCTCACAGCTCACTTCTTCAACATAATAACCATCCACATACAGATAGATTTCTGAGACCTCCATACTGGAATTCTCGACTGGTTGCCACCAAAGTGTCTCCTAGTGGAGATTCCCATTGGAAAGGGAATGTGGCTGGCAATGACACCACTTCCTGACCACTCAGGCATGTTTATAAAGTTTATAAACATTTATAAAGTTTCCGGGAACCAAAGGGAGCTCTTCCTTAGAAAGATCTAGAAGATAATTGAGTTCCATGGGAGCAAGTGTTTGTCTTTGCCTTTCACACATCTGATGTTTAGCAAGTATCTTCTCCATGCAGTCACACATTTAGTTCAAACGTTTGGTGAATGAGTCCTTCTCTTTAGCAGTCCTTTGCCTGATCAGTTCTTCTTTCACAAGATCCACCCTCATAGTTTTACTTCGACTTTTATCAGTCCTATACTTATTGACAATTTACTTGTTAAGTGGCATCCTTTTTTTTTCTTTTTCTTTCTTGAAAACCTCTTGTCTTAGATTTCCACACATGACTGAACCTCTCCTTCATGCATTCATCTTTTAAAGGTTGTTACTTATGGTGCTGTGATGATGCTTTTAAAAAAAGTTAATTATGTACCTATTCTTTTTGTTTCTTCCTCACCAAAAGCTGTCAGAAACTATTTTATGGTAATCAAAAAACCTTAATATGCCTTTGTTACATGAGAGACAGAATGGTAATTCTTTCTTCTTGAAGGTAATGAGTTGAGGTGCCTACACCTTGTCGAGGAGATCCTTTGCAGTAGGGAATCTATAATGATACCATTTAGCATAACATAAAAGGTGAAGCTGAAGCTACGATGGAGCACTTCTGGGACTTCTTTGGACTTGTGTTTTATTTATATTATCAATTAACAAACTGTAAATGGCTTCTTTATTTTAATGGAAGTGCTTTGCTGTTTAGAAAACAACAACTGGCCACTGAGTATAACCGGAAACAAGTTCTGCGACACTGCTTTACAGAATGGCAGCATTGGCATGGTACAGAGCTCCTGAAGAGAGAGCTGGCTTGGACAAAGGAGGAAACCAAGAGAAAAATGGATGCGCTGCTGAAAGCAGCATCACTAGGGAAACTCAGTACAAATGGGTCATCAGGCATCAGTTCACTTGACGAGACAACAGTTGTGATGGGGCCACCGGTAAGGAATGGAAATGTATGCTGTGTTTCCTTTGTTTGGTCTTCCTTCTTAGTAAATGCTTGCATTTGAGCCTTGAACTTTTATAGGTAATATGTCAGCCAATGTCAGATTGCCTTGTCTAGGCTATCCAAAGATTAGAGCTGCTACAGTACACAAAGGTTACCTCTGGACAGTGATTATTTCCTTGAACCAAATCTTCATTTTATAAGCACATATAAACTTTGGTGTCGTCGGATGTTAATAGGGACATAACATAGGGAATTTAAAACGAAGTGGAATATTCTCCTATCAGACAGATAAAGCACTGTCTATAATTCTTGAACTCCTTTGTTTTTTTTTGCTCTTCAGACATTTCCTTTATAAATGAGCTTGTGACTTCTAAGAAGGGAATTTTAAATTTTTATTTTTCTAATAAGAAAAGCCATATGTACTAATTATAGAAATCTGGTAGGAGAAAAATCACAGAGCAAAAAGAAAAATAGTCTATAATTCTGTCATCTGTAGATAAACACTAATAACATGTTGGACTATAGCTAGCTAGTCTTTTTTCTATTCAGGCATATGCAAATTTGTCTCTCTTAATATTTTATTTATTTTTAAAATTTTCTTTAGTCAGGTCATGGAAGAAATCTAGTCTGCCATAATTCAGGAAAAGGAAGACTATGTATTTTTCTTCTTAATACTAATGTAATTATCATGTTTTTCTAAAAAGCTTTTTATTTTTTGCATTTTCACATATAACATGAAAATTTTCTGTGTCACTGCATATACTTTTGCAACAGTAGTTCTCAACTGAGAGTATACCTCAAATCAGACCTACTAAAACAGAATTTCTGGGTGTGGAGCACCTATACTTTTTTTTTTGAGTTAAGTCTCACTCTGTCGCCCAGGCTATAGTGCAGTGCTCATGGCCACTGTAGCCTCCACCTACTGGGCTCAGGTGATCCTTCTGCCTCAACCTTTCAAGTAGCTGGAACTACAGGCATGCACTACCACGCCCAGCTTATTTTTTGTTTTATTGTAGAGACAAGGTCTCACCAAGTTGTCCAGGCTGATCTTGAACCCCTGAGCTCAGGCAGTCCTCTCGCCTTGGCCTCCCAAAGTGCTGGTATTACAGGCTTGAGCCACCATACTTTTTTTTAAGTTCCACAGGTGAACCTAATACATGCCCCTGTTTAGGGACTACCATTCAGTGCCTTCATTTGGTAATGGCTACATGATATTCAATAATGAATCATAAGATGCAATCTGTTTAAATCCTCTGCTGCTGGATTTTAAGATTTTTTTCCAGTTTGCCACTATTGTAAACAATGTATCCGTGAATATCCTAGTGGTGAAATCTTTGCACACATCCATGATTTACTTAGGACAATAACTAAAAATAGAATGCATGTTCTATTATTGCTTCAACATACGGATTTTTTTTCATTGCTAGTGAGGTTAATCATTTTTATTTTGGATATGCAGTCATGTACCATATAACAATGTTTTGGTCAATGACTGACCACATATATGATTGTAGTCCCATATGATAATAATGGAAAAATTCCTGTTGCCTAAGTGACTTTTTTTTTTTTTTTGAGTTGGAGTCTCACTCCTTCGCCCTGGCTGGAGTGCAGTGGCATGCTCCTGGCCACCGCAGCCTCGACCTGCTGGGCTCCAGCGATCCTTCTGCCTCAGTCTTCCAAGCAGCTGGAACTACAGGCACACACTACCATGCCCGGCTAATTTTTAATTTATTGTAGATACAAGGTCTTGCCAAGTTGCCCAGGCTTGTCTCAAACCCATGGGCTAGGGCAAGCCACTCGCCCCAGCCTCCCAAAGTGCTGGGATTACAGGCTAAGCCACCAAGCCTACCCCTAAGTGATTTCTTGATGATCTTGACCCTGTGTAGGCCTAGGCTAACGTGTATGTTTGTGTCTCAGTTTTTAACAAAAAAAGTTTAAAAATTATTAAAGAAATAGTAAAAATAGAAAAAAAACTTAAAGACTAAGTGTATAAAGAAAATATGTTTGTACAGCTGCCCAGTGTGTTTGTGTTTTAAGCTGTGTTGTTATAAGAATCAAAAAGCAAAAAGAAATAAAAATGTATAAAGCAAAAAAGTTATAATATGCTAAGGTTAATTTATTATTGAAGAAAAAGTAATATGTTTTTATAAATTTAGTATAGCCTAAGTGTACAGTGTTTATAAAGTCTATAGTAGTATACAGTAATGTCCCAGGTCTTCTCATTCACTCATTGTTCACTCACTGACTCAGTCAGTCTTGAAAGCTCCATTCATGCTAAGGGTCCTGTCTTCCAGTCTTGCAAGTTCCATTCATGCTAAGGGTCCCATACTGGTGTGCCATTTTTAGTCTTTTATATTGTATTTTTACTGTATATTTTCTATGTTTAGATACACAAATACTTACCATTTGGTTGTAGTTGCCTAAAGTACTCAGCACAGTAACATGCTGTCCAAGTGTGTAACCTAGGAGCAATAGGCTATTCCACATAACCTAGGTGCATAGTTGGCTGTTCCATTTAGGTTTGTATAAGTACACTATGATGTTCTAACAATATCACCTAACCATGCATTTCTCAAAGTACATCCCTGCCATTACGTGACTATAGATAGATAGATGGATGGATAGATAGATAGATAGATAATCTCTATATATGAATGCAGAAAGATAGATACAGATACATACTGACTTGTCTCTTCATGCCCTTTGTACATTTTCCTATTTGATTACATATCTTTTTCTTATTTATAGGAGTTCTTTATATTTTTAAGACTATTGATGCTTTTATTATTATATATGTTGCAGACATTTTTTTCTATTTTGTCATGTATCTCTTTGCTTTAGTTATGGTGTTTGGTACCATACACAGTTGTTAAGCTTTTATAAAGTCAGTCTTGTCAGTTTTTTCTTTCCTCGTTGTACTTGTCATGTTTAGAAAGCCTTTTGGGAAAGATCTACGTCCTCCACCACCCTTTATGAAATGCTGTTAAGTACTTAACTCAGACATGTAAAATTAAACTGTGCACTGGAGGGTCCTCAGTCTTGCTTTTTACCCTGATTACTGCTAGCAAATAGGCTGTTTTTAATTTAAGCTTATTCTCTCAACAAAGGGGTATCGTGAGCATGCTTATTGGAACTTATATAACATATTGGTCCCTTCCCCTAGGCATTTTATCTATGTTTATGTCAGATAATTTTGTCTCTGTTGAGACCCAAGAGAGCCTTCTATCTTAAGAAATAGCTATATGGAACCCTTCACCTTGCAGACTTCCACTGCTATTTTCCTTAAATAAAAAAAGTCAGCAGAAAGTATTTTTTTCCTGTGCAAAACAGAAAAATTACAATATATATTTAGACTCAAGAAAAAAGTCTCCAAATCTCTGAAATCAAGAACAAAAGATTTTATCAAGTAAGGATAATATTGTAAAAAATAGAGCACATGAAAATATAGGGTTACAATGAACTCTGTAGGTTACTGAATAAATGAATCTTTTTCTAGAGTGTAGAGTTAAACATGAACAAATGAAAATATAAAATCTTTACTTAGATGCTCATTAGTTTTACAATCATAGGAACTCATGTACTAAGAACACACATATTGTACCTTGAAATTTTTCAAAATTATCAGTTAGCTAATAGGTGATTTTCTCTAATTAAGCCAGACTATTCACTCTTATTCTATTAAGTACAATCTGTACCCTTAAGTTTTTCTTTCATTCTCTTATTTTCACCTTAAAATGTTATCATGATCCAAAAGAAATCCTGTTGCCTTACTCAAGGCTTTTACACAATCTTGCTGGGTTAATAATGTGTCATTATCACAAGGTTTAAAAGAGCCTAAAACATATACTCTGCTTGATGCTAAATTACTTAAGCAGGTGTTCTCATGAATAAGTGTTCCACTGACATTTCAGGAATAAAAGCTTACTTTAAAAAGTCTTTAACATGTCAGAGTTTCCATATATCATACTTTCACCTCAGCTAAGTCTATAGAAAGCATTTATATCATCATGAAAAAATTTTTGAGTCCCTGAGGATGACATTCTGTTAGAGCTAGAAGCTTCTGTTATTAGATAGATTATAGTATTTTTCTCTTTATACCACTACAGATGGTAGAATAAAAACTGGTCAGATCTTAGACCATGAAATCAAACCATTCTAGAATGGATATTTTAACTTGACATTATTTTGGCTAAAGTAAGTTTTTCTGAATGAAAAGTATTGTTTCCTTTCCCTCTGTATGGAACTTATAACTGAGTAAGATACCTGAGTCTATTAAATGAGATTTATGTGATCAAGCTTTGAAAACTATTAAGCTGTATGCTAATGCTAATGCAAAATATTACTAGGTAGCATTATTCTTATGTAATACAGATATTTGCCCAGTTATCCTGGGCTTCCAAATATCTCTCATTAATAGAGAGTTCAGGAATAGTGGGAACTGTAGCTAGGCTTTAAACCAGGCCTTGATACTGAAATAAATAAATACCCTGTCACTGTGGCATATGATTAATGTAAATTAGTGATAGGAGAGGCACCGAAAGAACAGAACTATTATTGATTTGTAAAGGCATTCTTTAGTTTTCAAGCATCCTTGAGAAAATACATCCTTTGCCACAATATTTTCAAGTTTCTGCAAAATTCAGAGTCAATTCATGGCATATTAAAATTCCCATTATATATAGCTGGAGTAATCTTGCCTAATTCATAAATGAACTGTCCAAATTAAGAATTTTTTTTTTTTTCTGAGTTGGAGTCTCACTTGGTCGCCCAGACTGGAGTGCAGCAGCTGCTCCCAGCCACCGCAGCCTCGACCTGCTGGGCTCCGGCGATCCTTCCGCCTCAGCCTTCTGAGTAGCCGGAATTACAGGGGTGCGCTACCACGCCCGGCTGATTTTTTGATTTATTGTAGAGATGAGGTCTCGCTGCCCAGGCGAGTCTCGAACCCGCGGGCTCAGGCAATCCACTCACCTCAGCCTCCCAAAGGCACGGGATTACAGGCTGAGCCACCGAGCCCGGCTCAAATTAAGAATTTATAAGAAAATGTTTTTTCTACTGCAAATGTCCTGGCCCATGGCAATTCAGTTGTAAGCATTCTCCCACCCAGTTTTCATGGTGAACAGTAGTGTACACTTTAAGAGTGGCTCACATAGCCAAGGCTGGTGGCTTCTGAAGTAGCCAGGCCTGGACCACAGGACAATTCTACCAGAGGTGCAGGGCAGTTGCCTCATTAAACAAAACAATCCTGACTACATGACTGTTGGATCTCCTCAGCACAGTCCTTTATGTAGTTGAGCTATAACATGCTCCTTCTCTCTTAGGTGACTGCCTTGGCCCCTTTGTGGGAAGAGCCTCCCTTGGGGAGCAATGGTTGTATACCCAGCCCTACCCTAGGAAGAACAACAAAGGGCAACTTGCAAGGTCCCCTTCAGAATGTCTCCCTGAATCCACCTGACAGGAAGCAGCACAAGACCCCAGATGCTGAGCCCTCTCGACAGCCTGGTGGAAATGAGAAGCTTGGAGCCACCAGCCAGAAAGCAGAACCTATTTGCATGGGTCATTTCCACAACCGCCATGTCTCCCAGCAACAACTGATTGAGAAGCAAAAGAAGAAACTTCAGGAACAGCAGAAAACAATAATTGAACTGAAGAAAAACCAGCAGCTGGCAGAGGCTCAGTGGGCAGCAGAGCGCACTGCAGCAGTCTCAGACACACAGAGCCGCTTGCTGTCAAATCTCAGAGAAAAGGAACCAAAAGGAACCCGCCAGATGCCTCTAAAGTATGTCCATTGCCTCAGAACACTCTTTGGACTTGTTTTATAGGGTTTTTCACTTTGGGGCAGAGAGGCTCCTGAATGTTTTTGCCTTGCTTCTGAAATCCATGATCTTTTCTTTGATTTCACACTCTCAAAGCAAAGAAGTCCCATGTACTGTGACTGGTACATGACAGGTACAAATAGATGGTGAAGGCAAGTGGCTGCCTATAAGGATCCCATTCATTATACAGTTGGCATTTGGGCCTTTGAGGAGCTCTACTACTATGCCAGTAAAAGAGAAAAATGCCTACTTGCTCTAACTAGATTTCTGGGGTTCTGAATGTGTTTAGTCTGAAAAGCCAGGTTGCTGGACAACATCAGTTCCACAGGGAGCTGCTCCTGGGCTGGCTAATTATCTAGTTTAAATTTATAGCTGTGTGGGATAAAACCACACATTTTTGAACCTTGAGTGAGAGTCCAAATTTCCCCAAAGCCACTTAAGATGTTTTTGGACATACTTGAGACATGCTTTGTATGGTAAATGACAGGATGAGACTTGGTGATGCCTATGGATTTGGAGCACTAGGATGGGAGTCAGAGTATCCGGCTCACATTGGAGACTCAAGCCAGTCACTTAACCTTTCCATCCCTCATTACACTAATTTATAGGGTGGGCAATAACGACTCATAGTTATCTCGGAGACTAAGGATTAAAGTTTGTAAAAGGCTTTGAGCTCCTCAGGTGAAAGAGCTTAGAAGGAAGCTGGTTATTCATCTAAATTATTTTCCTTTATTTTTCCCTCAGTTCGCCTGTTGCTTCCCCTGGGACTGGAGGCAGTAGAAGTGACTCCCGAAGTTCTCTTTCTGGACCCAGAGGGAACCCAAAGCAGCTGATGGCACCCCATCCCATACTGAAAGGCAGGGCTGTCTTGGTGGTGGTCTTGGTGGTGGTTATCTTCCCTCCCAGGGCAGAATATGCTGGGACTGAATCCTGGCACCTCGGGATTTCAGACCTGGCAGAACCTAGTCAAAATCTCAGGTGGATAACATGGAACATGGCGTGCAGAGAGCTCCCTCTTTGACAATCTTTTTGGCCTTCCCAGCCAACATACACACAATTACTGAAAGGTGTATCATTTTTCTGTAATTTGAGATTTGGAAAATGGGATAATTGCACAAATGAGAAAATGCTAAGTAGCTGCTAAGAATAAACACTGATTAACATCACCTATCATTGTACTTTATTGATGTTAAAATATTGATCAGGGCCGGGCTCAGTGGCTCAGCCTATAATCCCAGCACTTTGGGAGGCTGAGGCAAGTAGATTGCCTGAGTCTGCGGGTTCGAGAACAACCATGGCAACTTGGCAAGATCTCGTCTCTACAATTAAAAAAAAAAATTATCCAGGCGTGGTAGCACGCAACTGTAGTTCTAGCTACTTGGAAGGTTAAGGCAGAAGGTCAATGCTGGGGTGGCCATGAGTGTGCCACTGCACTCCAGCCTGGGTGACGGAGTGAGACTTCAGCTCAAAATATATATAGATCAGTTTACAGCAATCCAAGGCAAGTTATTGTATCATTTTATAATGAGTTATGCCTTGATGAAAGACATAACTCATTATAAAATGTGAAATCTCCAAACTAGATTTTTTAATTTGATAATATTTTTGATGCACATAGACACCTCTGTTTAAATAATACTATGAGAATAGAAGCTTTCCTCAGAACCCATCTAGTGAAACTTCTCATCGTTTGCTATATACCTAGTCACTCACTGAATGTATGTTTGCATATGGAGGTTGGCTCTTTGACATTATATTGTGGTTTGTAAATTTGATTTCTTACCTGTGGCATGATTGCTATTCTAATAAGTAATGACATCTGAAAGACACTATGTCTGCAGTCAGTTCCTATTAAGGAAGATTTTGGTGATCTCTGCATTAATTATCTGCCAAGATAGCAATTTATGCCATCTTTGCCTACCACTAAGGCTGATCAGGAAATATCCAGTTAGGTGTGATAATTTTCTTAAAATTATTGTGTGATCAAGGAGTTAGCTGTTTTAGAATCCCAGTCTGCTTTTTATTTTTCATTTTTCTGAGTTGGAGTCTCACTTTGTTGCCCAGACTGGAGTGCAGTGGCCGCTCCCAACCACCGCAGCCTCGACCTGCTGGGATCCGGCGATCCTTCGCCTCAGCCTTCTGAGTAGCCAGAATTACAGGCACGCACTACCATGCCCGGCTGATTTTTTTGGTTTATTGCAGAGATGCAGTCTCGCCAAGTTGCTTAATGAGTTGATCCAGAAGAGATGGAGAAAGGGCATATTACCAGAGACTCTGCTTCACTTTAATCCCCTAATCTATTTCTGCCTTCTTACAGACAATTTTGCTCTCACCATGTGAGGCACCACCATTATTTTTCAGCAAAGCAGACATTTGATATCTATAAGAAATAACCTAGTGAGTTTTTTGTTCATTAGTTCTTAAAAGTTGGACTTAAATTATCTTCTCTTTAGCATGGCACAAGGAACTGAAAGTAACTATTGGCTGACTTAGGTGAGCAGAGCTTGATACTCCTTCCACCCATGCCCCTCTTTCTATGAAAACCCTAACTGATTACAGAGTCATATTATCAGACCATCTTGCACATTTGTTTTTCTTGGATAGATATTTAATAGACTGTCAAGAACAGGAGTCTGACAGTCAAATTCATTCAGATGCCAGTTCTCCAAATGCCTGGTACAGTTCCATTTCCTGCCCATCTGTATATCCAGGCCTTAAAACTAGATTAAAATATATTCATCGTGACCCCAAACTTTAGTTTGTTTGTTGTTGTTCTTGTATATACAGACATATGTACAGTGACTTAAGAAAAATTAGCAGACTCACTTAATGGGATTTGATTCGATTCCCAAAATATTTGTTGGATGTAATTAAAGTTTTCTGCATTCATCAAAGGTATAATCAAATTAGAATTCTGGTTTCTGAGTTTCTTTTCACATACTAAAAGTGTATCATCTAGGCACTTTGTCTTATTTAAGTGCCTAATTATTTTGATAAAAATGTAAACAAATATAGTTAACCTATAAATTGTCGATCATTGCTGAGGATGGAATAGTAGATCTTTAATCTGTAGTGTATATTTAAGTTCTGCATATCTATACATATTTTCTGAGAATATGTATACTTTTTTTTTTTTTGAGTTGGAGTCTCACTCGGTCACCCAGACTGGAGTGCAGTGGCTGCTCCCGGCCACCGCAGCCTCACCTGCTGGGCTCTGGCGATCCTTCCGTCTCAGCCTTCCGAGTAGCCAGAATTACAGGCATGCACTACCACACCTGGCTGATTTTTTTATTTATTGTAGAGATGAGGTCTCGCTGCCCAGGCGGGTCTCGAACCCACGGGCTCAGGCAATCCACTCACCTCAGCCTCCCAAAGGTGCGGGATTACAGGCTGAGCCACCGAGCCCGGCTATTTTCTGAGAATATGAACACTCAACCTGTAAGAAAATCTTTACAACAACTCTACATTTTACTGTAAAATGAAGACATTTCTTTTGCAATGTACCTCATATTTTTTCCAATATAAAAAATATTGGAACTCTATTAATGTTTTCTAGCTATGGAAGAGAGAGCAATTCAACGAGCTGAACGTAGGCGGCTCTTGGCAGAGAGGAAGAAAAAACAAGAAGAAGAGAAATTGGTAATAAATTCAGAATGTAAACTGAGTCAAGAAAAAGGATTTGTCTAGGTCTTTCTTTAAAAATGAATCTTGTACAAGCTTCTTGAGACAATAGAGTTAAGTTTAAAAATGGCTTTTGGCCTACTGGCCTGAACTCTGACAATTTTAGGAGCATAAGGCAGAAAAAAAATCAGTATCATTAGCATATCAAAAGGCATTGTTACAAAAGTTGATGGGAGCTAGCAGATTAGAAGATTTACACATATCCAAGGTTAGTATGTTATGGGCAAATGTCCGACCTATTGAATTTGCAAAGGGGGGTAAGCGCTTATCTTTCAAAGTTTTGACTTAGACTGTCAGAAGTAAATTTTGCACCTACCAAGAAAAAAGTACAGTTCCAACAGTAGTTCTGGAGTTTTTTTGTGAAATGAAAGAAAACCTTTAGTTAGTTCTTCACAGGTGAGGGTAAGAACTAAAAAATAATCATTTTATGATGAAAAACTAACGGTCTTATTGATGCTCAGTCTTACCTTCCCAAGTAGAAAAGGATTCTTTTGGAGAAACATGTTGGCTGCACTTTCTACTTTTATCATAAAGTTCAGACTTCTTCCAGAGACAGGGTAGGCACCTTGGTAGACACTTGACTATCCTGAACATAAAAGATTGTATGCCCATACAAATTAAGGGTTCTGATTTTTCTGCATTTTAATGTCAATCAGGCCCAGTTAAAGGCTCAAGAGGAGGAGTGTCAGAAAAGGGAGGCAGAGGAAAAGGAGGCACAGCTTGAGAGAAAACGAGAAGAGAAGAGACTAAAGAAAATGGTTAGTATTGTCTATTTGGTCAGTCCCTGTCACTTGAGGCCTGTTGTGTATGATACTGTGGCCCTATCCATGTTCTCCAACCCAGAACTTCTGTCTAGAATACCTCTCACTTCCAACTTTTTTCTTTATCTTATTTAGTGGAAAGCTACTAATCCTTCAGATCTTAGCTCAAACATGACTTCTTTTTTTAAATTTTATTTTAAAGATGTGGGGTACAATTCAGGGTTAGGTATACAAATGGTCGTTGCACAGGTAAAGTTTGGGCCTCACTTTGGTCCCCACTTCACCTGGTTTGAGATCAGGTACCCTTATTGATGAAATGTGCCACCTCCTTCCCTTCCCTGGCAGTTTCCCACTACTGCCAATCCCTTTGCTATAGTATCATGATCATTGTTCAGGGTCCATTTATGAGTGAGAACATATGTTACTCAGTTTTTTGATTCTGTGATAGATCACTGAGTATTATAGACATGACTTCTTTGAGATTAGCCTTTCCTGCCCTGCTCACCCTCCTCTCCACCAGGGTTAAGTTAGGTTCCCCTTTGTGGACTCTCATCAAGTGTCTTTCCTTTAGAACATTATTGACATTTATAATTATGTGGCTATTTTGTACATTGCTATATCCCCAACTAAACTGTAATCTCCATAGGAGTAAAGGGAGTGGTTTGGTGTGCTTCACTATTGTATTGGCTAGCAGTGTGCCTGGAATACAGTAGGCACTCAGCAAATATGTGTTGAATGAGTATCTAAGTGAGTGAACAAATGAAAGAAAATAAGAAACCAAACTCTTACTTTCAAGGTTATTAAATTCTAGTTGGGAAAATAAGACTGAAAAATACACACGTGTCAGAGACAATATAATAGAGCTCTGAGGGCATGTGCTATGCAGACAAACCAAAGAGATCAAGAGAGTCGCACAAGGCAAGATCCATGAAGGATTTGGAGAATTTAGAAGCATTTTTATGGAAAGGAAGTTTGAATGAGGAATTGTATTAGTTAGGTTTCTCGAAAAAAGTAGAACCAGTGAGACATGTATATAGGAAGAGATTTATTACAAGGAATTGGCTTGTGCAATTATGGAAACTAAGAAGTCCCATGATCTGCCATCTTCAATCTGAAGACGAAGGAAAGCCAGTGGTGTAATTTCTGTCAGAGTCTGAAGGCTGTGAACCCGGGCAGTTGATGGTATAAATCCTAGTTCAAGAGCAGGAGAAGACTGATAGCTAAGCTCAAGCTGGCAGGCAGAAGCAAAAAGGGATGGCTTCCTCCTTGTTTTTCTTTTTCTGTTCTGTCCAGATTCTCAACAGATTGGATGATGCCCACCAACATTAGGGAGCGCATTCTACTAAGTCCACCAACTTAAGTGCTAATCTTATCCAGAAACACCCTTAAAGACACATCCAGAAATGAAGTTTAGCCTGACACCCTGTGATACAGTCAAGTTGACACATAAAATTAGCCATCACCCCTTGTCAACTTGGCACCCATACACATCTCCTTAAACAATAGTTAATCTGCAAATAAGGATGATAGCAAGATCATAATTCTGCCTGCCATGATACAGCTATCCTGTATACAACTGAAAGCATATGAACCCTTTCCTCAGAAGAGAAGCTAATGTCCTTGAGTGATGTTTACTCTTCTCTTTGATATCCTATGAGTTAAATACTATTATGGAAAATTAGCAATAGTTAAAAATTTTTTTTGAGTTGGAGTCTCATTCTGTCACTCAGGTTGGAGTGCAGTGGCACGCTCATGGCCACCTCAGCGACTACCTGTTGAGCTCCTGCAATCCTTCCACCTCAGCCTTGCAAGTAGGCAGAATTACAGGCATGCACTACCATGCCTGGCTAATTTTTTATTTATTATAGAGACGAGGTCTTGCCAAGTTGCCCAGGCTACTCTTGAACCCATGGGCTCAGGCAATCCACTCGCCTCGGCCTACCAAAGTGCTGGAATTACAGGCTGAGCCACCAAGCCTGGCCTTAAATACTATTATATAAAGTCAATACATGTTATATTACATGATAATGGAATAAAAGAAAAGAATGTGTAAATGTTTGCATAGCAAAATAAGGAGAAAATACAATTACAGTTTTTGTTTCTATAGCTGGTCACATGATCATAGCTGGTATTTATAACTACTTTCTTCCACTACTGATTCTGTATTCCCTTTGCCTTTAGCAAGCAACTCAGCTGCTATAGTTCTTTACTTGAAGGTGACCCAAAGCTTCATTCATGAAGAATCTGAGTTGCCTGGATTGAGTTGTAGTTTTCCATTGACTTTAATCACAGGGCTTAGTAACACTAATAGGTAATTCTAAGGGATCTTCTGTATTCCACTTATACTCTTCCTTACCCGTAATGTGGAATAGTAGTTCAGTTTCCCTTTTGCAATCAGGAGCAGTTATCCCAGTCAATACCATAACTTCCTTATTTGCCTATAATCCAGTGGCATGAGGAGCTCAAAATGGCCAGATGGCAGTCTTAACTTCCAGTTCAGTGGATCATTATGTCTCTTGGTGGAAGCATTCCTCCCACTGACTCTAGGCCGTAGATCACAAAGTTAAGGGAATGGGAAGCAAAAAGTTTGCTAGTAGTTTACTAGGGGTAACTGAGTTGTGCCACACTCATTTCCAACACTTGATTCCTGGACTCTTGAATCCTGGCTGTCAGAGAAACTGTACCATGTATTGGACACTGATTCAGACTATGCACAGTCTTCTGGAGAATCTTGCCCTATCCCTGCAAAGTATTGCTACCTGACTGGTGGTATAACTGAGTCCTCAAAAGCCATTCCACCATTCTCTCAAGCCAGCTGCATCTAGATGGTAGAGAACACGGCAAGATCAGTGAATTCTTTGAGCTTGATTTCATTGCTATACTTCTTTGCTGTGAAGTGAATTCTTTGATCAGAAGCAATGATATGTGGAATACCATGACAGTGGATAAAGTAAATCTGTAAGTCCATGGATGGTAGTTTTAGCAGAACTATTGCATGCATGGAAAGCAAATTCATATCTAGATAGAGTGTCTATTTGAATAAGAACAAACCTCTGCACCTTCCGTGATGTAAGTGCCCCAGTGTAACCAACCTGCCACCAGGTAACTTGCTGATCACCCTGGGGAGTGGTACCACATCAGGGACTCAGCTTTGGTTTCTGCTCCTGGCAGATTGGGCACTCAGTAGTGCCCTTAGCCAGGTTGGCATTGGTGAGTTGAAGTCCATGTTGCTAAGCCCATATCATCCCTACCACTATAGCCACTTTGTTCATGAGCCCACTGGGTGATGGCTGGGTGGCTGGGGAAAGAGACTGACTAATATCCAAAGAATGAATCATCCAGTCTATGGAGTAAAAGCATAGGCATATATAATTCATCCGTTTATAAGCCAGCCTAAGAAATTTCTAAAAACAGCTCAGTTTCTTCCTTTTAAAAATAATGGTACAGGGTTCTAAAATAGCCTTTCCCCAACATGTGTTTCATGTAACCCTAGAGGTGTCTGAGATATTAAATTGTTTTGAGAAAGTATAAGTTCTGTGGTCAATAAGGTTGGTAACTGCCAGTCAAAATAAAACTAAACAGGTTTCTTTATTAGTTGACTTCTCAGAACTATGAACAGCCTACTAGGCTTTATGAGTCTCCAGAAGAGAGCCAAGTAGTCACATATGTCTGACTACAGAGCCCTTCTTTTACAGAGCACCCAGTAGCATCTCATAAAACAATATGGGGTTGTGCTACTAAATAAAGCAGTGGTACACTTTTAAAAATATACAGTTTAACAAATTTCTTCTCTCATATATGTTCATTATAGAAAATTTCTTCTCTCATATATGTTCATTTGAGAGAGAAAAAAAATCTCTGAGCTCAATACTAAGAGTAAACTACTTTTATTATTATTTTTTATTTTCAAGATGTGGAGTACAATTCAGGGTTAGGTATACAACTGGTCATTGTATAGGTAAAGTTTGGGTCTCACTTTGGTTCCCATTTCACCTGGTTTGAGATCAGGTACCTTTATTGATGAAGTGTGTCCCCCCCATCCTCAGCAGTGTTCCACATCAGAAAACACAAATTAAGGGACATTCTTTAGAACAACTGACCAATAATCCTCAAAATCATCAAAATCCTCAGAAAAAGTCATAAAAAACAAGAAAAGACTGAGAAACTGTGACAGACCAGAGGATACTAAAGAGACATGACAACTGTACAAAATGTATAGCCAGTCAAGGGTAAACTACTTTTAATATCTTCTTATATCTATTGTATTTTTCTCTGTACATCTCTTTTATTAGTCAGGTTGACCATTTGTATTCATGTAGGTGTATATAGTTTTTAAGATGCTTTTTTAATTTAAGATTCTATTATGAGTATATTCACTTGTCATTCAAAGCCTTTTACTTTACATGTAGAAGGTCATTTTTTAAAATAAACTTTTTATTTTGGAATAATTAGATTTTACAGAAAGTTGCAAAGGTAGTACAGAGAGTTTTCATATACCCCTCATTCTGTTTATTTTCCCTACTGTGATTATATTATTACTATGGTACATTAATTAAAATTAAGAAACCAACATTGTTACTGTTAACTCTAGACTTTGTTCATATTTCACCAGTTTTTCCATTAATGTACAGGATCTAATCCAGGATATTACATTCCATATAGTTGTCATGTCCCTTTAGTGTCCTCTGGTCTGTGATAGTTTCTCAGTCTTTCCTTGTTTTCTATGACCTGTTTTGATGATTTTGAGGATTACTGGTTAGGTGTTCTGTAGAATGTTCCTTAATTTGTGTTTTCCAATGTTTTTGTTATAATCATTCTGGGGTTATGTGGATGTTTTGTGGAAGATGCCACCAAGGTGTGGTGCCCTCCTAATTGCATCGGAGCAGGGCACATGATATCAAGATAACAGCTTATAGGTGTTAGTCCTGATGACTTGGTTAAAGCAGTGTTTCTCCATTGTGAAGTTACTCTTCTTCCCTTTCCATACTTGATTAACA